CTATGAAGTGATATAGGTGCTATAAGGTGAGATGAGGTGAGATGAGGTGATATGGGGTGTCATGGGTGCTATAGGGCGATATGGGGTGTATGGGTGCTATGGGGGTCTATGGGGTGCTATGGGGTGTTATGGTGTGCTATGGGGAGATATAGGGTGATGTGGGGTGCTATGGGGCAGCTATAGAGCAGTTACGTGGCAGCTACGGGGCAGCTATGGGGCTGCTATAGGGCAGTTATGGGAGAAGTTATGGGGCATTTATGGGGCAGGGTTGTGGGACAGAGCTGTGGGGCAGTGAAATGGGGCAGGGATATGGGGCAGGGATGTGGGCTGGGATGCGGGTCAAGGCTATGGGGCAGCGCTATGGGGCAGGCATGTGGGGCAGCAGGGACCCATAGGGCTGTGGGGCAGAGCCGTGGGGCAGCAGGGACCCATAGAGCTGTGGGGCAGAACTGTAGTGCAGGGCTATGGGGCAGGGCTGTGGGACAGAGCTATGGGGCAGGGCTATGGGGCAGGGATGTGGGGCAGCACTATGGGGCCAGAATGGGGGCAGAGATGGGGGGCAGGGCTATGGGGCAGCGCTATGGGGCAGAGCCACCCCATAGGGCTGTAGGGCTGTGGGAACCATAGAGTTATGGGGCAGGGATGTGGGGCCAGGCTATAGGGCAAGTGCTATGGGGCAGCCATGGGGGGCAGGGATGTGGGGCCAGGATGTGGGACAGGGATGTGGGGCAGGGATGTGGGGCCGGGATGTGGGGCAGCGCTATGGGGCAGCGCTATGGGGCAGAGCTGTGGGAACCATAGAGCTATGGGGCAGGGATGTGGGGAAGGGATGTGGGGCAGCGCTATGGGGGGCAGGGATGTAAAGCAGACATATGGGGCAGGGCTATGGGGCAGGGCTATGGGGCAGCGCTATGGGGCAGGGCTATAGGGCAGGGTTATAGGGCAGGGCTATGGGGCAGAGTTATGGGGCAGGGCTATAGGGCAGGGTTATGGGGCAGTGCTATGGGGCAGGGATGTAGGACAGGGCTATGGGGCAGTGCTATAGGGCAGGGTTATGGGGCAGACATATGGGGCAGGGATGTAGGACAGGGCTATGGGGCAGAGTTAAGGGGCAGGGCTATGGGGCAGGGCTATAGGGCAGGGTTATGGGGCAGCGCTATGGGGCAGTGCTATGGGGCAGGGCTATAGGGCAGGGACGCCCCATAGGGTTGCAGTGCTGTGGCCGGCCCATACAGGCAGCGCCCCCTGGCGGCGCCGCCCTGGTTCAGCCGGCAGCCGCTGCTGTGGCACCAAAACCGGATCCGGGAGAACAGAGAGAACCGCCGGAACGGAGCGGTGCGGGGGGGGGGACGTGATGGGGACACTGGGGACATGATGGGGACATTTGGGGACATTGGGGACATGATGGAGACATTGGGGACATCGGGGGCATTGGGGACATTAGGGGGACATTGGGGACATTGAGGACATTATGGGGGATTGGAGACATTGGGGACATTATGGGAACGTTGGGGACATTGGGGGGCATTGGGGACATTGGGGGCATTGGGGACATTAGGGGGACATTGGGGACATTGAGGACATTATGGGGGATTGGAGACATTGGGGACATTATGGGAACGTTGGGGACATTGGGGACATTTTGGGGACACCGGGGGACATTGGGGGCATTGGGGACATTATGGGGACGTTGGGGACATTGGGGGCACTGGGAACATTGGGGGGCTAGAAGGATGGGGGGACATTATAGGGACAGGGGGACACTATGGGGACACCGTGGGGACAGGGGGATATGGGGTATGGGGTATGGGATGTGGGATATGGGATATGGATATGGGATATGGGGTATGGGATGTGGGATATCAGGTATGGGGTACAGGATGTGGGACATGGGATATCAAATATGGGATATGGGATGTGGGGTATGGGGATATGGGGTACAGGGGGTATAGGGTATGGTGACATTGAGGGGGTGTGGGGACATCGAGGGAACGTGGGGACATTGAGGGGATATGGGGACACTGAGAGAACATGGGGACATCGAGCAGATGTGGGGACATCGAGGGGATATGGGGACATTGTGGGGACATGGGGACATGGGATGTGGGATATGGATATGGGATATGGGGCTGTATGGATATGAGATATGGGGAAATGGGATATGGGATACGGGGATATGGGGCTGTATGGATATGGGATATGGGATGTGGGGATATGGGATGTGGATATGGGATATGGGGTATGGGATATGGGACGTGGGATATGGGATATAGGGAAATGGGATATGGGATGTGGGGATATGGGATGTGGGGTTGTGGGGCTGTGGGGTTGTGGGGTCCCAGCACAAACCTGCAGCACCGACAGCGCCCCGTTCTTCCCGTACCCGGAGCACAGCACGATCTCCAGGTCCGGCTCAGGGCTGTTCTGGAACTGCGGGGACACGGAGGGGACAGCGGGGGACCTCAGCATCGGACAGCCACCAGCACGTTGGGGACAGCGAGGGGACAGGGGGACAGCGAGGGGATGTGGGGACGGTGTGGGGATGTGGGAACATAAAGGGATATGGGGACATCGAGGGGATGTGGGGACTCTGCGGATATGGGGTCATAGGAGCATGCAGTCATGGGGACACGGGGACATGGTGACACAATGACATCACAACACGGTGACAAAGTGACATGGTGACACAATGACAAGGTGACATGGTGACACAGTGACACAGTGACAGTGACACAATGACATGGCTACATGGTGACAAGGTGACATGGTGACACAAGGACAAGGTGACATGGTGACAAGGTGACACGGTGACACGGTGACACAATGATATGGTGACACGGTGACAAAGTGACATGGCGACACAATGACAAGGTGACACAGTGACACGGTGAGATGGTGACACAGTGACATGGTGACAAAGTGACATGGTGACACAGTGACATGGTGACAAGGTGAGAGAGTGACACAGTGACATGGTGACAGAGTGACACAGTGACAAGGTGACAAAGTGACACAGTGACACAGTGACATGGTGACACGGTGACACAGTGAGATGGTGACACAACGACACGGTGACACAGTGACACGGTGACATGGTGACAGTGACAAAGTGACAGAGTGACACAGTGAGATGGTGACAAAGTGACACGGTGGCACAGTGACATGGTGACAAGGTGACAAAGTGACACAGTGAGATGGTGACACTGTGACACAGTGACAAAGTGACACGGTGACAAAGTGACACAATGACACGGTGACACAGTGACATGGTGACAAGGTGACAGAGTGACACAGTGAGATGGTGACACGACACAGTGACACAGTGACAAAGTGACATGGTGACACAGTGACATGGTGACAAGGTGACACAGTGACACAGTGAGATGGTGACACAACAACACGGTGACACAGTGACACGGTGACACAGTGACACAGTGACAAGGTGACAGAGTGACACAGTGAGATGGAGACACGGTGACACTGTGACACAGTGACATGGTGACACAGTGACACGGTGACACAGTGACACGGTGTCAAAGTGACACAGTGACAAAGTGACATGGTGACACAGTGACATGATGACACAGTGACAGTGACACAATTACATGGCTACATGGTGACAAGGTGACAGAGTGACACAGTGACATGGTGACACAGTGACATGGTGACAAGGTGACAGAGTGAAACAGTGAGATGGTGACACAGTGACAAGGTGACAGAGTGACACAGTGAGACGGTGACAAAGTGACATGGTGACACAGTGACAAAGTGACACGGTGACACAGTGACAAAGTGATATGGTGACACAGTGATATGGTGACACAGTGACATGGTGACACAATGACAAGGTGACATGGTGACACAGTGACATGGTGACACAATGACAAGGTGACACGGTGACACAGTGACACAATGACAAGTTGACATGGTGACATGGTGACACAGTGACATGGTGACACAGTGACACGGTGCCACAACCCTCACCTCCTCAGACAGGAACGCCGGCTCTCCCATGGCAGCGTTGGCGCAGGGCCCGATGTTGAGGATGCTGTCACACACCTGGAGGGGAGGTGACAAAGAGATGGGGGGGGGGGGGGGGGGGGGGGGGGGGGGGGGGGGGGGGGGGGGCGGAAGGTTTGAGGTGACACAAGGAGGGGTGGCACAGAAGTCACGGCGTCACCAGGGTGGGGACGAGGAGGGGACAACGTGGGGACAAACCTCGAAGGAGAACGTGGCCAACTGGGTGCCCGACTGCGCCTCGCTGCCGTACACCTCGATCTCATCCACCTCGTCCTGAGCGGCTGACTTCCCTCCTGGGGGGGGGACAGTGTCACCTCCC